GAGTGGACCAGAGTTTATAATAATACTAATAATGCGAAAACCAGTTCTCTTTTTGAACATAATAACCCCCTGTTTTGAAATCTCATTTAATACTACGTATAGATTTTTCTGAAACCTTTAGCATGCTAAAATTGTTCGTAGCAATGAAATCTTCTCTAAATATGGTATCGAAACGCCCGAAGGCAAAAACCAAGAATCTCATAAATCACAGGAATGGTAATATCGCCGTTGAAGGCAAATCCGTAAATCTCTGTAAATCACATCAATATTGTACTCAACTAAGGGTATCATAGTCGCCTGAATGCAGTACCTGTTCATCTTCAGAGGTGAAGTTGTACGACACTGGGTTACACCAGTGAAGAAGCATGGTAGGCCCCATTACCTGAAGGTGAAGCTATACGACTCTGGATTACACTAGAGAAGAAAATATATACATCACACACTAACACTGCTTTCGGTAGTGAAGCTGGGGCTATAACGTAAATATGATATCTCACTCTTCCTTATATGTGTCATATGGCCATAGACATCTATACTCGTGTTGTGTGGATGTGTTGTATGATAACCCACTAGATAAGCATCAAAAACATAAAACACGTTTCTCGTATCAAATCATCGGACCTCAAAAGCTCAAAGCCTCAACTCATAAATCCAAGCTAGTTCATATTCGTAAATCCATGGAGTCTTATATACGCAAATCCAATAGCTCATAATCTTTAGTAAAACTATAAAACTTTCTAGCTCGAATCATCATCAAAAACCATAATAATTCAATCATGAACTTTCTAGCTCGAATCATCATCAAAAACCATAATAATTCAATCATGTGAAACTATAAATTTATATCTGTAAATCCATCATATATCGTAAATCATAAAAGCCATGGTTGGTTTCATAAACTTAATTTCAACTTATCGTAAATAAATCATGAAACGTAAAATCATGAAACCATACTTTTCATGAAAGCAATCCTAGCATTTAAAATCATGCAGGTTAAGAAGGGGTCCACTCACAACGTTCCACTATTGGGGCGCCACTCGAATGAGGGACAATAGTATCATTTTCCACCGATGCACCTAAACACAAATAGAGACCTTTTTATAAAACTTTACTAATATGATATAATTTGGGAAAATGGAGCGCACAGTTGCAATCAAGACGTTGAAATTAGTCTAGGAAGGGTCCTGACTGAAACCAAAAAAAGTCAACCCTAAAGTCAACATTGACCGGTCAACGGTCTACGGAAGTCAACGGGTCTAGTTTGGGCTTTGGTTGTTGGGTTGGGCCGGTTATTGGGTTGGCATGAGTTAATGGATTTGGGCTTGATTATTGGGTTAAGCCTGATTTCATATTTGTGTTTGGGTTTTGGGTTTTGGGTTTTGGGTTTCTGGGTCGGGTTAACCCTATTTCATGTCGGATTCCACGAAGAAGAAAGCTAGAGCTTCCTAAGCTACGAACATCCCTAAAACTTAAGCAAAACTACTCATTCAATATACCAATTTGAAGCCCAAAGAACAAGGAGTCGGAATATACCTTTGGTTTCCTTTGAGTTGGCCGGAAAACTTGGTTTTTCACTGGATTCCTGGGTAAACTTTAAACGTTCAAAACATCTTCCATACTCAACGAAATTGGATGATTCAAAAACAAAAATTGTACTTCTCGATGAGACAAAAAGATTGGTACCTTCCTCGATGGCTAAATCGTAGTGGTTTGGTTGGAAAATGGCTCAAAGTCATCGGGTTTCACCGGAAAATTGGAGAAGAGAAGAACAAGCATGAACAAAGTTAAAACCTTTGAATTTTAGCTCAAAAATCACCCAGATACCCAAAAAACGTCACTAGAAACTGAGATACAACCTAAACACAATGAACTTACCACGATTTCATCGAGTTTTGAGTTACGTCGCGGGGGAAAGTGTTAAAGTCCCAAATCGGTGGTGGGAAAGAAAACCAAAAGGGTTTGAATATGTTTACCCCACTCTAACTAATGCCGAGGCTTTTTGTGGTAAAACCCTACACCTGACGGATTGGGTTGGTGGTAAAGTTGGGGACAATATCAGTGTAATTAGAGTGGGGCGGGCCTGGCGATCCAACCACTTGTTTTCAATTGGAACTCAGCGGTCGTCTCTATGTTAAAAGCTCAGACTTGTTTCCTTTCCCACCATCGATATAGGACTTTAACATTCCCCTCACATGTAACCTCATTTAGTAGTTCACACGTGGAGATCCATATCGACAATTGAAACTCAGAGGTCAGCTCACGTTAGGCCCACTTGTTTTCAATTAGAACTCAGCAGTCGTCTCTATGTTAAGAGCTCAGATTTGTTTCCTTCCCAGTGGTGACAAGCTAATTGGCTTGCACACAAGCTCGTTAGCTTGCATGGGCTCGCAACCATGGGCTCTGATAACATGTTGAAATTTTTGGATCGACAGACCCACCCTACTTTAACGACACCAATATTGTCCCCAATTTTTCCACATGCCCAATCCGTCAGGTGTGGCATTTTACCACAAAAAGCCTCGGTATTAGTTAGAATGGGGTAAACATATTTAAACCATTTTGGTTTTCTTTCCCACCACTGATGTGGGACTTTAACATTCCTTTCCAGTGGTGACAAGCTCATTGGCTTGTATGAGCCCGCAACCGTGGGCTCTGATATCATGTTGGAATTTTTAGATCGTCAGGCCTGCCCCACTCTAGCGACACCAATATTGTCCCTAACTTTACCAACTGCCCAATCCGTCAGGTGTGGGGTTTTACCACAAAAGGCCTCCATATTAGTTAGAATGGGGTAAACATATTTAAACCCCTTTGGTTTTCTTTCCCACCACCGATCTGGGACTTTAACATTCATTTCCAAGTTGTGACAAGCTCATTGGCTTGCACACAAGCTCGTTGGCTTGCACGAGCCGCAATCATGGGCTTTGATACCATGTTGGAATTATTGGATCGCCGTGCCCGCCCCACTCTAACGACACCGATACTGTCCCCAACTTTACCACCTGCCCAATTCGTCAGGTGTGGGGTTTTACCACAAAAGGCCTCGGTATTTTTAACGCCCTAGAAAATTTAACAAGGACGTATTTTATCATCTTACATTTTATCGTATTTCTTGACATATCTGATAAAGTTCAATCTTACAAGTCCGTAGGCAAAAACCGTTCGTGAAACGGTGTTATGACGAAGAAATTAGAGACGTTTTCGTTGTTGGAAAAATAAAAAAATAAAAAAATAAAATTGGTGGAAACTACCAAGTAACAGCAAGAGAGAGAAGGGAAATAGGGGATACGTGGGGGCAAGAAGACCAATGGGCAGAGGAAAAAGGAAGAGAAATGAGGGAGGTGAGGGAGCACCGGATCCTTTTGGATTCGTACAACCCAACCCGACCTGGTTCCTTGACCCGGCTCTAACTCCTCCGTCCGACATCCAATCGAGGTGATTCTGGTGTCTATGGAAAGCTCTCATCAAGCCCAACATCCTGTGGTGTTAGAATTCTAGGTTTCAAACCCAAATTCACAAATTGAAGCCACAAAACTCACGGGTGTCATGGCGGCTTTGTCCTTTTTCCGATGAATCCAACAATGATTGTCTTCGATGACCACCACCAAAGGACTCCTCTCAACCCTAGGAGCAAGGCTCAAGCCTTGGATTAAGCGGTGGAGTGCGTTTTGGTGGCGAATAATCAACTACCCAAACCGAGGGTTCTGGCAGTTCGAGGCGTTTTCTAACCACTTCTCAGCCGAACTAGGCTTCGGCCAAGGTATAAAAGTTCTTCCCTTTGTGGAGTTCAACAATCTTGTAAAATTTGGTAATTTTTGGAGTTAGTTGGAAAATTGGGTTTCCGTTCGCCGGAAACCACCACTCGTGGCGATGTGTGCGGCGGCCAGTGTGGCGTCTAGGCGCTGGAAGACAGCCAACCGCCGCGCTTAACTCTTAATCGGCTCGGCTACAAAATCGGAGAGTAGATTAGGCAAGCGTTGGATGTGATTAGGCGGGACTAGGTGGAGATATGCAAGTCTGGGCGGGTCTAGGCAGAGCTGACTGAAGACTAATCAGGCTTGTATGAAGACGCCAGAATTTGCAGTTTTTTCACCTGTCAATCCGTCAGGTGTGAGATTTTACTACAAAAGACCTTGGTATTAGTTAAAGTGGGGTAAACATATTTAAACCCTTTTGATTTTCTTCCCACCACCAATGTGGGACTTTAACAGAAAGCTGTTGTTCCACAGCGCATGCCATGCATGCAGAGTTGATAGGAACGAGAGAGAGAGAGAGAGAGAGTGTGTGTGTGTGTTTGAAAGTGAGAGTTGCAGAGAAGTGAGGTGAGGGGGAGAGAGAGAGTGTGTGTGTGTGTGTTCGAAAGTGAGAGTTGCAGAGAAGTGAGGTAAGGGAGAGAGCACAAGAAGAAGAGAAAGAGGGTGTTCTCGAAAATGGAATGTGTCACGGGGGGGAGAAAGGAGAATAAACAATGGGTGTTTTGCAGAGATTGTGAGGGTGTTCTCCAGAACCGGCCCTGAGATTTTAGGGGCCCTGTGCGAAAGTGAATTGGAGACCTTAAAAAGTACTAAGAATTTAATTTTTTTTTTTCAAAATAATAATTTTAGTTTTCAATTGAACTTCTATAAATTATAATAGCACAAACAAATTTAACAAATTAACAAGTGGAAATGTGACGTATTGTTTTTCCTTAACTATTTAGAGGGTCAGGTTTCGAATTTTCATGTTATTGTGTGGAATTTTTATATTATTTTGTGGAAGTTTATGCATTTAATAAAAATATAAACTGAAAAAATGATGGAGATGAGTTTCAAACCCATTCCCTAGGCCGATGTAAAGAAGAAATAATTCCACTTACACTAAGACTCAAGTTTGTAATATTCTACACTTTATATATATGTATATGCATGCAAAATTGAAAAATCGGGGCCCTTCCGATTTGGAAACCCTGTGCGGTAGCACCACTTGCACCCCCCTCAACGCCGGCCCTGGTGTTCTCGAAAATGGGATGTGTCAAGGGGGGAGAAAGGAGAATAAACAATGGGTGTTTTGCAGAGATTGTGAGGGAGAGAGAGAGAGAGCTTGAGATATGGAAGGGACGGAACACGAGGAAATCGGGTGTCACGGAAGGGAAGAAGCCAACGTGCTGGTTCACAAACCCAACACAGGGGCATTTTTGGTAATTTGAATGCCATTTTAAAATTGGGTTGTTACAAAAGCTCATACAAAAAAACTAGATTTTTTTTTATGGAAACTACAAAAAAAACTAGTTATGCAATTAAATGTATTACAGAAATTTGGTTTCAGCGATACAAAACCTATCACGACCTTATATGCATCTACAACCAAAACAAAACTAGTTACACAGTCCAAGATAGCAACAAAACCACCCTTTTCCCATAGAAAACAAAATGAATTTATGATGGTTCCATTCCATCCGACCTCAAATTTGCTCCTTTTTTCTTCCAAATCAAATATTTTTTTAGCCCCCGTCTTTCCAAGGTTCTTTTTTTTTTAATCACAAATTCACCATTTGAAAATCGTGAGACCAAATTCCTTTTTTCTTACTTATCTTGGTTTTTCACATTCTACTTTTTAGCCAAAATGGTTATTGGGATTGACATAACTCTTCACTTTGGTTCATGAGATTTAAAATCGAGAGGAGTGGTCCCTAAGTTTGTGCACCGTCAATCATTTTGGTTCTTTTGTGAAAAATCTTTGTTAAATAAGGACCTAAATGAAAATATCCTAAACTTAATGAACAATGGGCCCAAATTATTTAACAAAAAATTGAAGGTCTTTTGTCATTTTTCTTATTTAACGAAGATTTTTCACAAAATGATTAAAATACTTGATGGTGGACAAACTTAGAGACCAGTTCTATTATTTTGAAATGTCATGGATCAAAACGTGAAGTTATGCCAATCTTAAAAGTCATTTTCGCTAAAAAGCCTTTACCTTCTAAACCAAAATATTAGCTTTTGCAACGGCACTAAAATCCCCACACCCCTCTAACTCTCTCCCTGCCCCAATCCGTCAGCGAAGGGCTTGAACTCTGGACTACCACTAAACAATCAGTCACCTTATACTTAACGGAATCTGAAAAATGCTTTCGATATTCACTCGACCAGAGAACCTTATATCAACATCTTCGTGCACGGTTACTCGGTTAGCACTATTCTTCACACAATTGATTTTCATTTCAAAATTTCCAGCTCTCTATTCCTCACTTTACTTGGGAGCGCCGAGTTTGTGTCATGCCATATCAATTTGTGTTCATCCCGAATTTGATTAATCATGTCAAATGACTGGACACACTAACTCTTGTAATTGAGTTGGCAGACGTGTATGGTGATCTAGAAACTTAAACGACTAAGTTCCTATTATTTATAGGCCAAACCTATCATTTCCGATTCTTCATTAACTAACAATCTACATTATCTTAGACAGCAAGGTTCATATAAATACCATAACATAAAAGTAACAAAGTTACGTCCACTCAGAATCAATACATTCGTCCTTGACACTAGGTTTGTGCAAAGTAATGGTCAACCTACTTAGTAACTTTGCATTTGGTCAAAGCCAAATTATCATGCCGTGCTCAAGATTGTCACTCCTAATTTTCTCTGATTCTTCTTTCCTTTCCTCCAGCTCCTACTCTTGTTTACTGAAATGGAACTAATAATGATAAGTTCATTTTCTCACTGACAAATGGAAAGAGAGAGCGAGAGAGAGAGGGAGAGATAGTACCTGAACTCTATGGTTGAGGGAGTCGACCAGGGACTGTAGGTTGGTGATGGGGTCTCCGTCCGCGACTTCCTGAACATGGTCGATCGACTGATCTTGGTGGTTCGTTTCTACTTCCCAGAGAGAGAGAGAGAGAGAGAGAGAGATGGGTGGGTGGTGATGGAGCCTGGTATGGAGAAGGCCGGGGATAGTATTCGGTCGTTTATCAATTATAGCGTACGGGCGAGAAAAGTTTGGGTTGGGGGAGGATTTGGTTGTCGAATACTAAAATTTGGGATTTAGCATCTCCCATTGCAGTTGGTCTAAGTGGATGATAGGGTTGATACGTCATACTTTTATGGTATATTTTTCAATATTTTTATCTTTATATTGTAATACGTGGTATACCACCTTATACTTCAAATACACCTAAAAATATCTAATGTAATAAGTGTAGCAGTAAATATATTGCAGGACAAAATTAAGCAAAACTGATACTATAGTGAAATCTGTTTAGGTTAATATTTGAATATTGGGCTACAAGTGTGAGAAAGCCCAAGGGTGCCAATTAAAAGAAGACTTGCTCGAAGCCCAGCACTAGGCCCAGAGACAAATTTGGTGCCTTCCCATTAATGCATAGACCATGTGTCTATGATTTAAATGTCAAGTGATGGAGACTAACTCACAATCAGCCAAAAAACACTTTTTAGTGGCAATACAAGTAAAAATATGATGAGTCACTACTCTCCAAATGCTTTCGGGCAAGAGTAAGGTCACATCAGTCGGGCTAATTGGTCTATAAAAGAAAGAAGAGGCCCCAGAGACAAAGACATTCAACCAATCAAACAAACAAATATACAAACTCTGCTCTCAAGCCAGATTTGCATCCAAAAGCTGTAATCAGCCCAGATCTCAAATCTTTTTAGCAACAAGCTATCCTTTGTTTAGATCTCCTTAGAAAGCCTATCTTTCTCCAGTTTAAAAGCTCTGCTACCTCCCTCAGTGGCGTAATATCGATCCCCTCGTGTAAACCTATTTACCATCCATCCCTTTCCAGCATACAAACCTCTATAAACTCAAAGAGAAGTGCATGCAAGAGGTTCAACCTTGACAGACAAGGTGAAATCTTGCTCAACTTCCTTGTTTTTGTACTTACATTTGTAGATATATTATTTAATGCGTTCTCCAGTATGTATTCAAGTTATATCCATCAGTTTTCCTACTTCGAGAACGTCATTTGTAGTTGGATATGGTTAGTTTAATGGATATATCATTGTTAAAACCAACCAAGAACCAAGTAAATGGCTTAGAGCACTTTGAACTACCTTCATACGAACATACAAGACTATGAACTAAAAGTCCTTGGTCACAACGCAAGAAAAAGAACTTAACATGGACTTAACTCATCCACGACAATCTTTTGATAACAAGAAGTCCGAATAACTTGGGGCGCAAGTAATCGACTAAAACACACTTATTCTATATCTACTATACTGAGATAGCAGTGGCACGCCTAGCACTTAGTTTGTTTTGATTGCAAGCCTCAAGGCCTATACCTAAGGCCCCACAAAGGCACCTTTCAAAACTAACTTTGTCCTCTTCTTGTAGCACATCGACAAGCAAGACCCCGACTATACATCCAAAGTGCCAAATCCTTGAGGAGCTGTGGGGAGAGTCGAGGATCCCTCTCGAGAGAAATCTTCGCACGAACAAAATCGAAGTAAAACTACAAACTACAAGGTGAGCTAAAAACTATCGGAAGGTTGAAAATGGCTTAATCAAACTATTTTTAATCTCATGGGTTTGATCTAGAAGCGAACTATTAAATTGATATCGAATTTGCCATTTATGAAATTCGAATTTGATACCTCTCACTTATATTGGATTTGGTCACAAAAATGTTTAATTTAGTTCTAAGGACAAAACTAAAGCAAATCCAACAATGATTCTAACATCTGTCCAGGGCAGACCCGTCGTGCTCATAAAAATAAAATAACAAAATAGGTAGGAGCTCCTAAGTCTATAGAGAGTGAGAAAGCATTAATTATATCAAAAGAAAAGATTATCTCTATTTTTATTTGTTCATATTTATTATATCTTATTGAAGTCCAAAGTTGGTTAAAGTACAAATTTTTTAGGGAGCCTCTACAATAGTTTTATAGTATTTTTAGTTAAAATTAACTAAAAACAGAAAGTATGATTGGAGTCTGAGTAAGAATATGAAAGTCATTATCAAGTTTTCTAATAGATTTGTACGTAAAGTTAATCCAAACCAATTTGTTTGGTCACAAGCCTAAAAATCTAAACTCAACCATTAAATTGAGGATATTTATTAAGATACTACCGTAATTATGTATCAGTGAAATATAAGTCATTCTCATAGGCTAAGAAGTAAAAGAATATTGGGTGCATGTAGAAGTAGAAGCACCCCGTTATTCCGGCATATTGTGGCAGTGTCGAATTCGGACCCCATCTCTCCCTTCCATGGCTCTCCCGGTCCCTTTTCCTTTATTTCTCGTTTCAAAAGGCAGAAAGCAAGGAGAGGTGCTGTGAGCCGTTGGATGAGACGGACATTTCCTCCAGTTTCGCGTTGAATGCCAACGGCTTTCAACGCCCTACAATTTTGGTAACCGCCTCTTGACATTGTCTGCTCTCAAACCTAGCTCCCACCCCACTTCTTCCACTTCATCGATCAATCCCCAAGGACAAGCATACTGCCTCTTGATTTTGATTTTGATTTCGATTTCGATTTCTGATCATGGGTATAATTCTTTAATTTTTGCTCATACATTTTATGTGTTTGCCTGATTGCTCTTTAATTTCTGATTATTTTTGTTAATAGTTCCAAATATTTAAATAATTGTGTGTTTCTTGAAGTTGTTGCAGACCTGCATTTTCTTCTTTCCCAACATGGCATTGGTAGGAAGAAAGTGAGGTGATGTTGAATGTAAAATTTTCTCAGGAAAATTCATTTAATTGTGTACAAAAGTTAGGGCCTCCTGGGTAATGTTTTCGTGTTCTGCTGCGTATTAGGAACATATTCTGTAAACATGTCTTACCCCAATGGTGAATCTTGTGTATTGTATGTAAACATGTCGTGCACTCCGAGATGTATAGATTTCATGCACTTCTAGGTTTCTTGTGCATCAAGTATCATAGGGACGTCTTGTATAAATATCGTGTAATTGCGTTGATGAATGCTTGGCTAAGTGATTGAACTCATCCTATATCTTATTCTCATTATTCTGTCACATATTCATTTATCACCTGAGCTTTGATTGTGTATGAAGTCGATTTAGTTAGGTACGGAGCGATTGCTAAAGATTGTCGTAGTATTATTGACAATGGAATTGTTTTATTCTTCTTGTGAAACAGGCTCTAATTGATTCTTAATTGAGGCGTTCTCCGTAGAAATAATAGATTAACTACATAGTAAACATATTGGGGAATTGGTGCTGGTGATCACAGCAGAGAGCTTGCAATTTATTCGGTTTTACTCATCACAAACTGGAGGTATTATATGTTGCCTCTTGGAAACTATTGAGTGAGAAGGCCTGAGTTCAAAAGATAAGTAGAATGGTTCAGTGATGGGTTTGTATCAAAGGAGCATCGGGAGTTTCACTGATCTGCTTCAGAAAGTGCAGATCAATTATCTGCGTCTCCATTGCCCACTTCTCCAAGGTCCCCAAAGTCCCCTAAATCTTCAAAGTCCCGAAAGTCTCCAAAGATTCAGGGGAAACATGGAAAAGGAAGTCCACTCAAGCATGATAGACATTCACATTCTGCAGTTGATGGGCATCCTAAAAAGGGTAAACTACACTTTCGAAATTTTCTCATGGATTCAGGTTGAAGGCGTTCTTTTGCATTATATAATTGCTAGCATGAGGTACTAGGGAATGGCATTTTAGACAATGTCGTAGCTATATATTGTTATCTGATTATCACAATTCAAAATTAGGTTTTTACTCTTAATTTTATGAAGATTATCATTATGCAGGTGGTTCTGGGGGTAAAGGCACCTGGGGAGGGATAATTGATACAGATGACAGTTACACTGCTGACCCGAATGACCCAAACTTCAATAGCAGTGAGGCAAGTAACTGAACAACTCACACCTTCATATTCAACTCTTTTTGGATCTTGATATGAAAATGATCAGTTTATTTGGCATCTTCAATATTAATTGACTTATTTTCACCGTGTTTACCAATTACGTGGTTGCAGGAGTGTGAAAATTCCGATGCAAGAAAAGAGAGGGTTGATTTTGAGGAGTACAAAAAGAAAGCTACAATAATAGTGGAGGAGTACTTTCCTACTGATGACATTACCTCAACTGCAAATGAACTTAGAGAGCTTGATAGGCCTACCTATAGCTACTATTTTGTAAAGAAGTTTGTCTCTAAGGCGATGGATAGGCATGACAAAGAAAAAGAAATGGCTGCTGTTCTTTTATTTGGACTATATGCTGACTACATTGACCCCCCACAAGTTTACAAGGGGTTCTGAAAATTTGTAGAATCGGCGGATGACTTCATTGTAGACATACCTGATACAGTTGATGTTCTTGCACTGTTCATTGCCCGAGCTGTGGTTGATGACATACTTCCTCCTGCATTCTTGAAGAAACAAATGAACTATTTACCTACAGATTCAAAAGGGATTGAAGTATTGACAAGAGCTGAAAAGGGCTACTTAGCAGCCCCGCTCCATGCAGAAATCATTGAGCAGCGATGGGGAGGTAGCAAGAAAATGACTCTGGAGGATGTCAAAGCTAAGATAAATGATTTGTTGACAGAGTATGTAGTGAGTGGTGACAAGAAAGAGGCGTGCAGATGCATCAAGGATTTGAAAGTTCCCTTTTTTCACCATGAAATAGTTAAACGAGCTCTAGTAATGGCAATGGAGAGGCGTCAAGCTGAAGGCCAGCTACTAGATTTGCTGAAAGAAGCTGTTGAAGAAGGTTTAACAAACTCAAGTCAAGTATCAAAAGGCTTCGGTAGGGTGATTGACTATGTTGACGACTTATCACTCGACATACCAATACCAAATGCACGAGGTATATTGTAGTCAATGATCTCCAAGGCAGCATCAGAGGGCTGGTTGTGTGCTTCATCTTTGAATCACTCTCTGTGCAACCAGAAAGCGATTATTAGAAGATAGTGTTGCTAGAGTTTTCAAGACGAAGGCTCAATCTATTATTCAAGAGTTCTTATCTGGAGATATCTCAGAAGTAAACAGTTGTCTAGAGTCTGAGAATAGTACTTGTTCACTTGAGCTGAATGCTATCTTTGTTAAAAGATTGATAACTCTAGCAATGGATCGCAAGAACAGAGAGAAGGAAATGACATCCGTCTTACTGTCATCCTTGTGTTTTCCAGCTGAAGATGTAGTAAATGGGTTTGTAATGTTGATAGAATCTGCAGATGACACAGCTCTGGATAATCCAGTAGTTGTCGAAGATCTTGCAATGTTTCTCGCTAGATCTGTGGTGGACGAAGTTCTAGCCCCACAGAACTTGGAAGAGATTGGAAGTCAGTGCTTGGCATAAGAGTCAATTGGGAGCAAGGTCCTTAAAATGGCCAAGTCATTGCTAAAGGCTCGGCTTTCTGGGGAGCGGATATTAAGGTGTTGGGGTGGTGGTGGCAGACCTGGATGGGCAGTTGAGGATGTGAAGGACAAGATTGGGAAGCTGCCAGAAGAGTTCGAGTCGGGAGGGGATGTAAGAGAGGCTTGCCGCTGCATGGAGGAGTTAGGCATGCCATTTTTCAACCATGAGGTTGTCAAAAAAGCTCTGATGACGATTATGGAAAAGAAGAATGAGAGACTTTGGACTTTGCTGGAGGTATGTTTTGGCTCTGGACTCATCACAATGAACCAAATGGCAAAGGGGTTTGGGAGAGTTGCAGAGTCTCTAGATGATTTGACTTTGGATGTTCCTGATGCCCAGAAACAATTTACAAATTACGTTGAACGAGCAAAGAATGCAGGGTGGTTGGATTCCTCATTTTGTTTCAGCAAATTAGGACACAGTACTGAGAATGGCACTGGCTAATTAGTTAGCTATTTTCTTAATCGCACATACGAGCGTATACACACAAAAATATGCATGCAACCAAACATATTGTAAAAATCTAGTTACATTTTCCTTGTCCATCATCTTCTTTAGCTACTCTCTCCTCCTTTTTTCTGGCTTATTGATCATTGATCAATTGAATACTGGTAGATTTTCTTTTGGATGAATAAGAGATTATTTTTCAGTGTAATTGCAGAATAAGCAGACTAAGATGCACACGATTATCTAGTTTCTCTCGGCACAAGAAACACAATAAATACTGCAGAAACTCAAAAGCAAGTCGATTACTGATTACTAGCTGATAAACCCCTCACAAGATTCCTATTCTCAACACTATTTACATTGGGAAGAACTGTAGCATGGAATGATATATCTAGTTTCTTGTGTGACAAGTAAACTGAATTAATTGATCTTTCATGAGGCATTAACTCTTGTTAATTCTACTTTTTATACATCTCAGAGCAGTCCAACAGTTAACAACAAATGCCTTCCAACAGAGAATCTCTCATTCATATTTCATCAAAACTGTAGCTACTCATCTTGGCTCCCAATTCACACTAATATAGAACTTTTTTTTCTTTTTTCACAAAACAATATGCTTTTTGTAATCCTACCAGATGCAAATAAATTCACCACAAAAAAAAAAATAAATAAATAAAAAATCAGGCGCAAGTAACAAAATGTTTTTTGATTAAAATTTTTTTGTTACAAACTGTAAAATACACTACGAAATCTCTTTAATTCTCTCAATTTTTTTAAAATTCTTTAAAATGAATTTTTAATTGAATACACGTGAAATGTTATAAACTTATTTAAAATCTTAATTCAATACACTTGAATTTCTAAATCTTAAAATCCTAATTGAATACCAGTTGAATTTTAAAGAATTATTTACAATCTAAATTAAATACGTTTAAATTCATTAAAAAATTAAAAATTCTTTAAAATCTCGATTGAATACATTCGAGTTACAGAGGGCGTAAAGGTGAACCTCCTGCAAGTATATGTGTTGACCCGTTTGGCTTTGATGCCTCCTATGCGCACCTCAAAAACAAAATCTATAAATAACATAACACGAGCTTGGATATAAAAAATTGCAACCTAAAATCCAAAAAAATGGACGAGAAAGCTGACAACAAAACCGGGGAAATAGAGGAAACGGGTCCAAAATCCGACGGGTATTCTCCGAACCCGAATCCGAATCCCAAAACTGCGAGGACGAAGGTTCCAGAAGTGGAAGTCTGCCTGTATCGACAAGGGAAAGGCCCGATCGACACGTTCAAGTCGGGTCTGGGAGGTTGGGACCAGAACCAGTTGGAGGTCGGAGACATTCTCGACAAGTACGGATTCAAATCGCTTTACGCTTTCAATACCGAATCGGGTCGCGGGGTTCCGATCCGGTTTAACCCTAGAAACGGCAGGTCTATGCTGCCGTATAGAGATGGAGCCACGGTCCACATCGACGGAGAGCCTAAGGTAAAATTTTCTAAGACTCTCCTCTTGTTAGAACATGATTGCCAAAACCCAATTGATGAAATTAGCCAGAGGAATTTTCTGTTTGGATGCCGAGAAAATTGTATTGCACTGTATTTTTTTTTTTTTTTAATTTTATTGAATTGTATTGTATATAGAGGTCGTACTTGCCTTCGCCCATGAGCGGTAGCTCTCGGGTTCGAGGTTCGAGACTTGGGAGCAGCCTCTCCATAAATGGGGTAAGGCTAGCCAACATTCACCTCTTCCAGACCCTACGTAAAGCGGGAGCCTTGTCACTGGATACGACCTTTTATTGAATTGTATTGTATTTAAATAAATTTACTTTGCATGTGTGAGAGATACATTAGGGTAAATACATTTAATGTTTTTTGGCTTTGGAGTTATATATGCTTTCAGTTGTCACTCTCAGTTAGCAATATAGTAGTTCCTCTTACAATTAGAGGCTTTGGAATTTAGAGCAAGAGATATTAGCAACTTACTTGGTTGAATTCGAGCCATCGCCATCGGTTTTCATGTTTCAATTAGTTTAACTGCGGCGTTTCATTTGTGGTCTAAGCATGTAAATGATTTCAAATGCCCCTAAGAACCCTACGTGATTCATCTTGTAGAGCTTTGATTGTTTGTTTGATAAACACCGAGTTTTAGGACCGCATAGTCCTAAAAAATAGGATTTCGCATCGTTGTTTTGGTGGATGCTTATGCCCATTTTTATGACGAGCAAATTTGCATTCACCCCTTAAAGTGATTGTGTTTAGGCACCGTGCTAATAGCACTGTGCCACAACATAGCAGTGTCGTTAACTGTAACATGAATAACTGCCCGCTAAATCCATCTCGAGGATTTCAATTCGTACCTTGTTTGTCGTCTATTTTATGAGCAGTCTGTAAGGAATCAGGATCTGCTGACTTTATTACCCTTCTGTATAATTTGTGTTTCCATACTGCCATTTCCTTCTGATCATGAATACTGAAGGAGGAACAATTGTTCTCTCATTAAAGTGAAACAGTGACACTTCCAGTATTCTTTTGGTGCCAGTTCTGCTACTGAGTTCTTGTATGTTCAAATTCTCTTAATGCAGGATTCCATGATCCAACCGGTGACGAAAATCTTAATTGGAGTGGCTTTTATGACCATCCTGATAACATTGGTTTTGAGGGATCCTCCGCAGTGGATCCAGAAATTAAACATTACTGGAGGTAACTTCCCTCCATGGATCATCGCTCTCGTGATCATAGTTTTTACTCGAATGAGGAAGAGAACCAGGGATTTGCTGAAAAAGTTTGGTTGGTGAAGGGCGCCATTGATGCTTCTCTTGTAAGGTTCATTAGTTTCTCCAGTTGCTTTCAAATTTTGTTAGAAGGTGATTCGTAATCACTGAAAGTTACTCTGAAGTATTTAATGAATTTTGACAACAACCAAAAAATAAAATAAAAAGACGCTCATCCGCGACAACCACTTGGGGATTAGACTTTGTAATCCCCTGCAAAACTTTGCGGATGTACGCAAGGGGGCATTTTCCATAGTTTCCCACTTACATTTTAGGCCAAATTGGATAAATCTTTGTGGTAATAAGGTATTTGGAAGACAAAAAACCTAACCCACAAACCCAGAACCTTCCCCCCCCCCCCCGGGCCGGCGACACACTTCCCCCCCCCCCCATCTCCTGCCTCTTCACCTCCCGTCCCTTGTCCATCTCCATCCCCTCCCTCTTCACCTCCCGCGACGCACTATTTATCATAATTTATATACCACAGACTACAGAGGTTGGAAGGGATATAATGGGTCTTGTTGGCAGCATTATGAATTGAGAGAGAGAGAGAGAGAGAGAGAGAGAGAGATGTGTCTGCAGTCAAAGAGCGTATAGAAAGAGGCTCCTGAAATGTCATTTCACTCTGCAAATATAATCAGAGCATGTACTGTTTGGGGGCTATGGAGGTTGGAGACATTATTCTAAGGATTTAAAAAACAAACTTATTTTATGGTATGCTGCAAAAGTGTATTCGTAGCCTCGGAAAAGGATTAGCTCTGTCTACTGGGCACTGGTCCCAACCTGAAACCCGTCTACCGTTGCCTAGCGCTTGTTCTTTAGGTGGAGGGACGATCGCCTCTCTAACCTGAACCCATTTCCATACGTTCCGTTAAAAAACAGACCGATATGATGACTTGTGTTGCAAGAACGTAGAGAATCGTAAAAAGAATCAAACATGGTAGCTCAATATCACATAAGTCTATCCCATAATTTTAACTTCGAAAATTCCATGAAGTTGATTCTCTCACAAGTCAAAACTACAAGCAGCGATTTCGTTTCCAAAGGTCAAAGCAAAACTCATAGCGACTGCTTTCCTTGGCGTTCCTCTGACAAAAATAGGGACTACTTTCCTCAAATTGGAAAAAGTAGGGCATCGCTAAACAACAGAACTTAGTATACAACGTGTACAAACAATGCCTATGAATCGGACAACAAAATAATAAAAATTAGGCAACCCAGCATTGGAGGTGAATTGCCCGAATAAATTCAGCATGCACAGCCGCCACCTCCTCTCTGATCGGACTCTGTAACAGCCTCCGGGACGCCCTGGAAATATCTGCAAGTAAAAAGAAAAGAGAAACAATGATGAATAAGGCAGGTTTGGAGGGTCATAAAATACCTCATATAAGCGTAAAGCAATAATAGCAGAAAGATAGATACTGATGCCCTGTAGATATACAATTGGGGTAAATCGTAAGGTAATTTTCACTAGAATCATATGCTTATTCTACAAAGAAGTTTTGACAGAATTTGGAAAGATCAAGATCAGATGCTCATACTTTGATTGCTTTACAGCAAAGATCCATTATGTGGGACAATGAGACTTAGTTTAGTCATCTGCTTCCACACTGCCGAGCCCCTTACCTCGTCTCAAGCTGTACTTAGTCCCATTCAAATGCACATCCTTTGATGCGACCAGTCAAACCAGGCTTTATCTATACTTACAACTATTGTGACTGGTGAAACCAGGCTTTATCTATACTTACAACTATTGTGACTGGTGAAACCAGGCTTCATCTACACATGCGACCATTCTTCTCCTAAAATATCTTAACTAAGTTCTAAGAAGACCAATATACTAGGTTTTATCCTTCATGTCATAAAAGTGAGAACTAAAAACTACATTCATAATGAAAACTATCATGTTCATTCTATCTAATTCTTGTCTATAGAACCAAGACTATGATCAAATACACTATATAGAATCATCTATCCACTATGCGGATGCTTCCAAAAGAGAGCCGATGCTCATCTTCTGAATCTGGAATAGCTGATGAACTTAAATATATTCTAAAAAAGAACTTGGCAATATCCTCCATATAAACTTACATGTCCTGCTCATGTTCATTTGCAAGAGCAGTCTTCGCAATACAAAGAAATGCACCATCAACGTTGTAATCCTCTTTTGCTGATGTCTCAAAATAAGGTATATTCCCCTTTGATGCACACCAGTCCTTTGCTTTCTTCTCCGACACCTGTAAAGAAAATAATTAGAATGATGTACATGGGCAAGTTGTAGACAGCACTACAAATGTGTATCCTTACCACACGACTGTTCCCCCCATCTATATCAATCTTGTTACCAAGCAAGATAAACGGAAATGTCTTGGGATCGGGAGGGTCGGCCTGGGAAACAATTAGAATGGAAACGATATGCGCATTAAAACAAAATATATGCATTTTCTGAAAAACAAAATTCAAATTACAGAACTGTAAGCCAAACTGCTTAGGCTTGAAAGGTATATATTTACAACTTTCAAAACTGCTTAGAGACACTTTTATCAAACCACCATGTTTTATAATTAAATCAATGACAACATAAAATAAGGTAATCGTATTAATTCGGATAAACAAACTGTTATAAGGAATGTATAGAATTAAAGAAATAAGAGAAAGGCAGCCTTATGTAGCCACCCATGGAAAAGCAAGCACAAAATGGAAAATTAAAAGCCTATAGCATGGAAACTTAGTACTATCCGAGGCTCAACTGTCATCTCATGTCAAATACACCATAAAACACACACAGAACAGCATTTGGAAATTAGTGCTAAAATGGTAATTCATCTGGAAGAATTCTGTGCAAATTCTACAATTTTTCAGCTGAAGCAAGAAATGATGGATGGAAGTAAGATAAGCAACCTTTACTCCCTACATGGGAATTCCCTTCTTGCATACGAAATAAAGGTCCCAGGAAATGGAGCATTGATGGAATATTGATTGCTTTCGTACTTGGGAAGAAAAATACTTTTGCATTTGTCTCAAAAGCCAACGAAAATAAGGGGACAAAGAGAGAATGGTTAATAGAAAAAACTAAAACGTCCAATATCAGAATTGTATTCATTTTACTTAAAAAACTCTTAATTCTTCCTCCTTTTTTCTCGTTACCTCTCTCATTAGACAAAAACAATAGAAAACATAGATATTATCAAGCCAACTCTAAATAAAAAACAAAGCAATAAAAAATAATTACGCATTAGACAACTACTATTCAGTATTTTTAAGCTCTAAACTAGTCTTCCCTGCCGCCATATTCATTCTTCAGGCTAGAAAACCCCATTTCCGAAAAAAATTGTTATAACTTAAGTAGCTAACCCAAGATAAAGCAAATAGCTCATTATTGATCAAAGTGCAGTAAGAACAGAAGTAATACAGAACTAGCATAACTTCTCTAAGGTAGTTATATTCCATTGTGCTAATGCTGCCAATGTTTACTCAAGTTTTATTATGTCAAGGGAATTATTAATAGTGTTCCAAAATAGTTATCATGACCTTTTCTCCTTTAGTTAATTCACATGGGAGGAGTACTATACGACTTTTTTGGAGTTCAAATAATAGCTCCCTTTTGACAAACATATATCCTTGCTTGAATATAGAATGACTGAGAAACGCTATGTGTGTGTGTACACATTTATATAAGTAATTCAATCTTGTAACACAATTGGCACGCTATGCTATCAGATAACAATAAGAACTGCACCTCAGATCCTCAACATATGTTTCCAATGGATAATGGTCCTACTTGAGAATCTCACAGCACAGTACATCAGTTTGGCAAGAGAAAGTTATCAGATAAATATATAAAGAATTGAGAAAGGCATGAAACAAACCTGCTTGAGAAACTCCTCATGCCAATTATCTAGAGTATCAAAGGACTTCATTACGTTAACATCATAAACAAGAACACAGCAATCTGCTCCTCTGTAGAATGCAACTCCAAGACTCTGAAATCTTTCCTGCCCGGCCGTGTCCCAAATCTTCCAGACGAAAAAAAACAGAAAAACCCACATAAATTAGCACCCACAATTCCAACAATAATTACCCTAAATTATACCAAACAGAACACTGAAATACCATTGAACCACAAAACCCACTTGTAAAGTGACGAGCCTGTCATCGATTTGGAGTTCTTTGGTGACAAAATCGGCACCAATTGTAGCTTTATACTGCTGACTAAACTTCTTGTGCACATATCTAAGCCATCAGTTAAAGAACCACACAGTCTTAACACCCAAAAAAATACATAATTAAACTGATACCTCATTAGAATAACAATGCCCCATTTGTCGATCATAAACAATATCAACCTAATTAAACTTAATTCACCAAAATTACTTAGATTTCTGAGATCGCACAACGAAAATTACACAAATTCAACACCGAAATTGGAAAAACATAATTAAAGTTAACGAAAATAATCTCACGGATGGTGAATGAAGGATACTGGTTCATCAACGAGGTCTTGCCCACCCTAACAGAAGAACAAACACAAATTTAATCACTAAAATTCACACAAAATATAGAAATAAACTACAATTGCTGCAGAATCAGAAACCCTAAAACGTACCCGCTGTCGCCGAGAACGATGACCTTGAGCAAGGTTCGTCTGCGCAATGACATGGCGACGAATTTAAACTGATGCAAAAGGCGAAAATTTCAACTATTTCGACAGTAAACAGATTTCACGCACCAATGCGATTGATTGGTCGGCGTGTTTGAATTTTTCTTTCCACTTTTGTTTCTCTTTTTTCTTCTCTTTCTAGGAAAGGAAAGAATGAATGGGAAGAGAGAGAGAGAGCGAGAGAGAGAGAGAGAAGAAAGGGGCGCCAATTTCGATCGGTGGTTGGTTGTGTTGTTTTTAATTTTTGTAATTATATTTGTGTACGAGTCGGCAGGACGGACAGCAACATATATTATTACAATGACAAAGACCAAGTGCCAGGTGACATTATTATAGTAAGAAGTAAGTTTAGATTAGACATGTGTTTTTTGGGTCCCACTTATCCACACAACAAAGGACAAGGATTGTCTACCTTTCCACTTTCGGTGTTTTCCTATGCCCTCCTGTTTTGTGTGGTTACAGTTAAATCACGTCAATATTTTATATTATTTTTTATAGAGATAATAAAATAAAAATGAATAGTAATATAAAATGTTGGCGTGGCTTAACCGTGACCACACAAACATGAGGGCACCGGAAGTAGGAGGGCAGACAATCCTTGTCCCCCTCCCATGCCATTCTGTTTGTGTGGTCACGGTTAAGTCACGTCAACATTTTATATTATTATTCATTTTGTCTTATTATCTCTATAAAAAAATAATATAAAATGTTGACGTGGCTTAACCGTGACCATACAAAACAGAAGGGCACGGGAGGGCACCTGAAGTGGGAGGGCAAACAATCCTTGTCCACGGGAGGGCATCAAAAGTGGAAGGGCAGACAATCCTTGTCCCACAACAAAAGTGGTTTAGGACGGCGGCCATCACACTAGGGTGGGATTAAAAGTTTAAATCGTGATTAAGTCATGCAACCAAGTTGTAATTTTAGCTGTGTCATCCTCCAAAGTAGGCGTCAAGCGTTAAATCCAAGCGAGTGACATGTATTGACCTTTCACATTTACTTGGGCACGCGCAGAAAAACTAGTAAATTTTAAAGATCGAAGTCACAATACATGTATAGTTGCTCTTTATGATTACAGAGATTGAGTTATTTAGTATTATGATTTAGTGATATTTTCTATTTGTAAATGATTAAGTGAGAGATTTTACGTTTAATCCTTATTAAGGGTGAATTCGAACCAAACTATTATAGCTAATAACTCTTTTTGAAGCTTAACCTTCTTTTTTCACACATGTAAATATTATTGTGTGTATTACAAAATGAAGTATAAAAAGGATGAGAGGGAAACTAACAAAAGCTAAATGCCCAAAGAATATTACACTCAATACTGTATCCTAATGCTCTCTAGCTCTTATAAGTAATTTATATTTCTTTTCAAATTTTGAATAGTAAATGAAAAAATAATTTGACAAACAAAAACATAATTACAGTAAATAAATTAGTTATAAATCTTTAATATTGAACATGAAATCTTATATGCATGGGTAAATACTGATTCTTAATCAAGGTGCTTATCTCTACTAATTAAAAAAACACTCATTATCAACTAAAACCATATAAAATTACCAATTTAACCCTTATTAAAGCAAAACATGAATAAGAAATATGGGGTAGAAATGTAATTTCACACAACTAAATTTTGCTGTTTTTTTTTTCAAAACCTCACATACATGTAATCCTAACATATCTCTAATTATAAAAAAATAAAATAAAAATTTCCCGCTCCCAATTTCTCTATCTCTCCCTTCCTCTCTCCTTCTCTTTCAAAAATAAAAATACATATTTTGTACGTGACTATATGCTAGTTTCTTATTAGTAAAACATAATTTTATTTAAAAATTTGTTTTTTGTAACATTATCCTTTTAAGTTAGAGGGGTTGTGGGAGAGTCAAACACATTAGCTAAAGCCTAAAACAGCACTAGTTAATTTAACTACGGAAGCGACGTGGAGCTCTGGCGTCCGCGCGCTCCCGTCTTCGTGGAACCTCAGAAGCACAGCCACAGGCCACAGGCCACAGACGACAGAACACAAGAGCCGCACGCACACTTGCATTTCGGTCGTCAAAACTCCCTTCTTTTCTTCTTCAATTCCTGTGAGGCGGAGGCAATGGCGAATTCTTTGGTGATTGGCTTAAGAGTTCTGTTTGCAGCTTTGGGCTGCGCGATGACCGTCACTCTCGTTTACACTCTCTCCGTCGACGGCCTTCCCTTTCGCAAGGACCTTCTTACTCCGTACTCTCTCTCTCTCTCTCTCTCTCTCTCTCTCTCTCTCTCTCATACTCCCAGTCTTTTGGTTTGTTTGTTTGTTTAATTATTTTGAAAGTTTTGGGATTTTTTCTGTTTCAGGTGGATGGTGGCTACCTTGATTGATTTCTACATCAATGTTGTTCCTTTGGCGGTATGATCTTAAACTTAAACACAGTTTTCTGCTAAGCTTTCATCGAATTCTTGAGGTTCCATCGTTGTAATTTTTTTTGTAATTTTTCTTGTTAATTCCGTCTTCTTTTTTCTGTTGGTGCTATATCAGTAATATCATTGTTTAAAAGGAACGAGGCTCCCGTAAAGTGGGGTCGGTATCATGTGCAATCTTAACCTTGCTTTGCAAAGAGGCTTTTTCGTCGACTCAAACCTGTAACCTTTTGGTCACAAAAGGAGCAACTTTATGTTGCGCCAAGGCTTGCCCTCCATTAATAGCTTTGTTTGAAATGGATAAAATCATAATAGTTCTTTTGACTTTAAAGATGAAAAGAAAGAAGCATATGAACAACCGTACAGTTTCCATAATCGATTGCAGTGATTGTCTCGGGGTACTTTGGTAGCTAAAAATTTGCTAGATTAAGGCTGCTTGTAATCGTTGGTATTTCTATGAGTTAATGAGTCTAGAATGTACGTTGCTTGTTAACCAAGTATACTTCCTGACATTTCCTTTTAGATTTATTTCTTCCATGAGGAATGGAAAATAATAAAATCTTTCTATATATGCCAGAATGCTTTGTACTGGTAAACTTAATGGAAAGTGTCACTGTTTTAGTTTCTTCTCCTTATCGTTCGGGGTTTATGGCCTCTATGATGTTGTATTGTTATTTCATTTTGAGGTGCTTAAAGGCTCCTCGATTATATTTAGACACGAAATATATATTACTGGCTGTTTAGGTTCTTTTGGTCTCTTTCGGTCGACTTGCTATTTCATCATGCATTGAGTTGAATCTGCTATAAACAAAATTGTGTGCGTAGCTCAGTTTAACATAGACTTATATAAGTTATGTCTCTCTTTTCAGATTTGGATTTCCTACAAGGAGTCAAACTGGATTATTGCTACACTATGGGTTACACTACTAGTATGCTTTGGAAGGTTTGCTTTCTACCCTATACTAAATATATTCTGAACATGCGTGTGGGGTGGTTCAGTAATGTGGTTAGACAAACTTTTTTATTACCTAGCACATTAGGTTTGCCAGTTATAAGCTTCTCTCAGTTGGTCTTGTATGGTTGAAATTTCAACCCAATACTGTTGGGTCAGATAGTTAAGTTTCTCAATCCTGATCTGAGTGGTCCCAGAAACACGTCCTAATCCTATCAGTCACTATGATTGAATTTTGAGATGTGGTGATTGCATTAGTTGTTACTACACCTAAGTAACAGAGCAGTGGTTCAAAGTTCTACTATGTTTTCTTTAATCGTTATGTAGTTTTGCTTCTTTTTCTGGTATCAGTTGCCTTTTTGTATTTGTGTATTGATTTCTTTTCATTTCATGACAATGATTCTTGTTCGAATTTGAGTGTGAAAGTTTGATTTGAGCTTGCAATCTTTTCTATTTTCTTTTTTGACCTGTCATGCTTGGTAATATTTCAATGTGTTAATATTTGTTTGATTTTTCCATTACACACAATTTATCTGGTTCATTATCAACTTTAGTTTGTTATTAATTTGTTGCTATTCTTTGGTTTCTGTTTCAAGTATCACTACATGTGCCTACATTCTGTTGCAATTTATGAAGCTATCGACTGCAGAATCGCAAGATCCTATGTACTATGTTCTGTTGCGACATTCAAACAGGTAGGTAAACTAAACTTCACCTTAGTGTATCGTGCTCTAATGTTGAATCAAATTATTGTATAGAAATTATAATACTGAGAGACGTGCATAGAGAAACTTGTCGGTGGATGGCAAAGTGCATGGAAATCGGTTGATTCCCATCTGATTTCCTTCTTGTGCTCTCTCTTGATTCAATAAATGTATTCTAATTTGATTTATCTCTTAATACAATGTTCTTAAGTTGTAATCTCTGGGAAATAGATTCAAATATGACGTGGTTATCAATTACATGAAAATGACAGAGAATTTTAATTTTAGGAATTCTGATATTACTTAATTGCTGAATCATTATAGTTTTTTTTTTTTAAATTATTATTTATAGCTTGCAACCCATTAGTGTTTGTAGAATTTATACCTGCGGCATTGAAAAATATTTATTGTGTAAGAGAAAAACTGATTTACCAGAGGAGATGGTTCGAATTTGTCTGCTTGAGGTGTAACAAGGTGGGTGATATTCAAAAACTCGGATTGAAGTTCTAGCAGAGAAAGAAGACTTTCTGGTTAGCACAATTGCAGTGGAGGAAACAGAGTTTCCCCTTTTCCGAGGCAGCCATGAAATTTTATTGAAAAGGAGATTGGAGATAGGAAGACAAAATAGCATTGTTGGCTATTATTGGGGTATGAGAAGCTGTTGTGATATTGGCAACTGGCTGCAAATGAAGATTGTGCTCTGGTGACCATGTAGAGGAGTGACATTTTTGGATGATTTCTATTGAGTCTGTGTTACGGTGTAAATGTCAACTTAATACATGATGTCATTTGTTTACAAGTAAACATTTAGAGAGGAATTTTGCTTAAACAAACTTTAAACTAAGGAGTTCACTGTTGGGCTTTATTTGATTTATGAGCTCTGTGTGATCACTGAGCTTTATCTGATAATGGTGCATCATAATTCATATGCATGTGACCATATACTAGAACTCGTGCAGGTTTGTTGATACACGTCATAGGATAGGGCATACACGAAGATGCACGTCTTACTATGCTTTATGAAACTGCATATGCTGCTCCATTTTCTTTATAAACATGGTTTCTCATGCAGCTATTCTTTTCTGTTAGATAAAGCTCTATATCATAGTATCATACTAAGCTTAATCAGTAATGGTGGCCATC